AAGCATTGTTTCAAAAATAAAAATGACACTTGGTATTGGTGTACACATTATAAGATTCTTGTATTTATTTATTGTATCTTCTCTTTAAGAATTGCAGGTAGCTTAGCAAATCTTATAGCTATAACTTGCAAAGAGTTAATAGAAAAACAGAATCCAAAAATGATAAATAGGTATAGACATCATTTAGCAATTAGATTTTAATGAAGAGTACATATCTCAATGATGTTTTAAGATAAGAGTGTGTGCTCTATCTACTTTAGCACTCACACAGAGATATGAGTTGATTAGAATGAGGCGTTCAATGGCTTAACATAGTTTCTACGATAATTAGCAAAAGAAGTAATTTTCTATTGTTTCCTTGTGTGTTTTCCTTTAGTGTTGAAAGGATTGAGTTAACTGTTGTTTTTGTTGAATGCCTTGAATCGGACCCGCTACAAACAGAAAGGACGGGGGTCTCGCTGCCTGGTCAGCGAGTCGGGGGGTCCAGGGGGGCGACGCGCCCCCTGGCCTGGGGGTCCGGGGGGCGGAGACGCCCCCGGCTCGACGGTATACAATGTTGTTGTATTGGGCCCTTAATTTTCTGTTGATTCTGTATGTTGGGCCCAAGCCTGTTAGGGCGTAGCTTAGCACTATATATAGACGCTATGGGAAACCCTATTCTGTAATTCTGTTTTTGCCTCTCCATAATAAAACTGCTCCCTCTCTTCCCGTGGACGTAGCCAATTTATTGGTGAACCACGTAAATCCGTTTTCTTGTTTTTCGCGTTTATATTTTCTCGTATTATCTCAAATTCCGCACAACAGTTTTTAATATTTTATTTTCTTTCGTTAGTGTTGTTTTCCTGTACTTTCCTCTTTTTTTTTATTTAAATAATTTTTCAGATTTATTTTTAGACTCTAACCTTGCTTGCTTCTACTTTTCTTGACGAAATTCTAGATATCTCCAAATAACAATGACAAAAAGTCTCCAAGCTTTTCACTGTCTAATCACTGCCTCGAGAAAGGTAACGTTTCCTCCGTAATATTCTCCTCGTCTTCTTTTATTCATGATATGCCTCACTAGTCTGTTGTTGTATCGTTGTTGTTTTTACATGGGAATTTATGACTTTAATTTGCTATACATGGGTTCTGAATGGATTTTCTTGATTTATATTAATGTGAAAGTTTGCTTTAATCGTTTAGTATTTATAATTGATGCTTGTTTGTTCCTTTTTGTTTGAATCAATTTTTGGTGACTACTCTTCGCTATGTCGTAGAATCTCGGTTCTTCTTTTTCATTGTCTGTAAGCCTATGTATTATATTCAGTTTTTCTACTATTAATGATGCTTTCTATTCAACTGTAATGCTTCAATATCTTTTTTTTGTCATCAATTTTGTGGGACTAATTCTGCCTAGTGAATATAATTTTTTTTGTTTTGCCTAAATGCATGTTTTGTAGTTATTTTATGAATTTGAATAAGAGTACCTTCTGGTCCACAGTTTGTTCTTGTTACTTATTTTTTATTCTTGTAAATTTAAACTGTATAAGAAACATCAATATTCTAGAGCGTGGTTGGATGTATGACAGGTTGGATAGTCGAGAGGCTATAAATTCTAGTTTTGTAATTGGAGTGGATAAATTTATAAAATTTTTCATGTTTGCAAAAGAATGCCATGAGAGGTAATAAAGTTAGATGTTCATGTAAGAAATTTCACAACTTTAGGTTCACGGATGTTGAAACGATTGAGCATAACCTTTATAAATCATTATTTGTTGATAATTATTTTATCTTGAAACATCAAGGAGAAAAAAATATGATTAGTGAGATTTCTTGTGATCAAGATTTGAATGGTGGTGCTACACCTGAATTAGGATATGATAATCCATACTATCAAATGATTTTAGATGCAGCTGGTCCTAACTTTACCCAAGGTTCAAGTTGGAAATATTTTGGAATTTATTAAACATAAGTCGTCTCATCCTTGTGAACCTTCAATGGAGGTAGATCCGAATCCTGAGTCTCAAAAATTATATGATATTCTACAAGCAGCTGATGCAAAATTATATCCTGGCTCTTCTCTCTCTCAACTTGTTGTTGTCTCTCAAATGTTAAATATTAAAATGGAGAACACTATGTCACAGAGAGGTTATAACAAAATGATGCAATTGTTCAAAGAGGCTTTACCTGAAGATAACATAATGCTTGATAGCTACTATTAGACAAAGAAGCTAGTGCGTAGCTTGGGTTTGCTTATTGAAATGATTGATTGCTTTGAATCATGATGTATGTTGTATTGGGGTGATGATGAACAACATACATCTTGTACATTTTGTGGATATGATAGATACAAGCGTCGTGTTGGCTCTCGTAAGAGGAAATTGGTCCCTTACAAGAAAATGTATTATTTTCCTTTGATTCCTAGATTTCAAAGATTGTATGCATCTCATGCTACAGGTGCCAACATGAGATGTCATCATGAGCATTCAAAAAAGGATGGTGTAATGCGCCATCCATCATACTCTATGTCTTGGAAGCACTTCAATGACACTCATCCTTTTTTGTTCATGAACCATGAAATGTAAGGTTCGGATTATGTACTGATCATTTCCAACCATTTAGTTAGTCTGGGAGCAGATACTCGTTGTGGCCTGTGATTGTCGTACCTTATAATTTACCTCCAAGAAATGTGTATCAAAAAGGCTTATATATTCCTAGCAATCATTTTTCCGGGGCCAAACCATCCCAAAGATAAAATTATAGTTCTTTTGCAGCCTCTAATAAGAAAATTGACTTTGTTGTGGGACACAGGCGTGCAAGCATTTGACATCTCAAAAAACAAAAACTTTCAACTAAGGGAAGCTTTGATGTGGACAATCAGTGACTTTAAAGCATATTCTATTTTATCAGAATGGAGTACTGCTGGTAAGTTTGCATGTCCCTATTGTATTGAGGAAACAAAATCTATTAGATTGACCCATGGTAGGAAAAAATCTTGGTTGGACTGTCATCGGATGTTTCTTGACAAACATCACCCATTTATAAAAGATCGTAAGAACTTTCTTAATGGCAAGACTTTCCAAAGATCACCTCCACCCTACAGAACATGAGAGCAAATATTGAATCAAATTTTTGATTTGGACATAAGAAAAGTAACAGAGTTAGATGCAGGACAAGTCAATTGAAGAGTATGTAAGTCTTGCGAATGGAAAAACAGAAGCATCTTTTCGCATTTGCCTTATGGGAGTTCTAACACGATTCGACATAATCTTGATGTCATGCATATTGAAAAAAATATCTTTGATAATGTGTTTAATACCGTTCTTATTTTTGATGACAAAACCAATGACAATCCACAATCACGTAAAGATATAGTAAAGTCTTGTAATCAACCTCAATTGGCAAAGTATAGTAATGGAAAATATCGCAAAACTATATATACGATACTCAAGGAAGCAAGAGTTATCTTGTTCAATTGGATGAAAGGCTTAATGTTTCCAGATGGGTATGTTACCAATGTGGGTAGTGTGCCAGACAAAAATGCGAAAAGGATATATGGCATGAAAAGTCATTATTTTCACTTGTTCATGCAACGACTATTGCCTATTACCTTTCGCGAACTACTTCCTCATAATGTGTTTCAAGACCTTAAAGAATTGAGCTTATTTTTCAAATATCTTACTTCCACAAATCTTGTCCAAGTTAGAATGTATATTTCCTCCCGAATTCTTTGACTCAATGAATCATCTTCATGTTCACCTTCCATATGAAGCAAGGATAGATGGACCAGTACAATATCGATGGATGTGCCCTTTTGAAAGGTAAATGTAAAGCTTTATATAATATTAGTGACTAGTATATCATATATTCTTATCTTCCAATGTAATGGTCCATACATGTTATATATTTAGGTATCTCGGAACTCTTAAAATGATGATTGGAAGGGTTCCATTTGTGAAGCATACTTGACAACAGAGTCAACACAACCATTTTCTCATTATTTTAAACCTCATGTCATGACAGGTAATCATAACGTCGATTATAATGATGATGGTGGGGATAAATATGATATTTAAGAAAAATTGTCAATATTCTCCCACGCAGGTCGACTATGGGGAGAAGCAAAAAAAAGGGATTTATCCCTCGAAGAAATAAAGGCTGCCCAAACTTATATCTTACTAAATTGTGAGGAGATTGAGCAATTTGTGAGGTAACGAAAGTTATTTTGATATTCCTAATAATATAAAAATATCCTTGAATCACGACTTTTCAATTGAATTTATTTTGTTGTAATGATGTATGTTCAAGACACGTTTACAAAAAGAATTTCTGTATCTATCTCAAGGTTAAATAGACGAGAGTATTGAAGAAAATTTCTCTCTATTGTTAAACGAATTGATGAGTATTGTGAAATTATCTTTTATACAGTAACATGCTTAAATTTAGTACTCTTACATTTTAAAAAAAATAGGTCCAATGTAATCCCATTGAGAATTAATTCTTGTGAAGTCTTGCTCGTGGACCATGTATATACGCTACATTATTCTGTGTATTTTGTGACTGAATACAAAGTTCACATGGAATTTCATGGTAGCACAAGATCAACAATGAATAGTGGAGTTGTGTATCTTGATTCAAATTTTGGTGATCAGTATGGACGGATAAAAGAGATATTACAAGGGGAATATCGTGAATTACTTTTATAGCAAACTGTATTATTCAAAGGTGAATGGTTTTACCCAACTATGGATGTTTGTGTTAAAAGGCACAATAAATACAAATTTGTTGATATTAACCAACACCGTCGATATAAAAAATATGAACCTTTTATTATTGCAATGCAAGCAACAGAAGTGTGTTATGTACCTTATCTTATCAAGAAAATGGACAAGGATGATTGGGTAGTTGTGCTGAAGGTCAAACCTCAAAAAAAAATTTGATTGCCTATTGAGAAAGTGGCAATAGTTTCAAAAGTAAATGTTCCATTTCGAATTGATGAATTTGAAGTTCATGAGATAGATATGACAGTTTTCGTTGGTGAGCTTCTAGTCTTAAATGATTCAAATGTAGATTTAATTGAAATTGATGAACCCATTGATGATGGACTTTTGCAAGAGAATTATGAAATTCACATAGTATCCACAGAAGAAGAGCATGAAACTGATGAGGATGAGGACGATGACGAGGACGAGGAAGAGGAAGAGGAAGAGGAAGAGGAAGAGGAAGAGTTTGAAGAAGACAGTGACTACTGCTTGATCATTTGCTATTGTATTTTCACTTCATTTTGTTTTTTTTTTATTTTCAATCGAGGATAATCTATTGTAGATTCTGCTTTTCTGTTTAGGATTTAAAAAGAAATAACTCTTTGTCTTTGAACTACACGTGCTTAATTTTTTCTTTGGGAGACTTATTATAATGTAAATTTTTTATCATTTGTTTGTATGGAATGACATTATGTGACAGTGATTCAGTCAAGTAAATTAGTTGACAGTGATCATTTTTTACAGAGAGTTTTTATATTTAATCATTGTTCAAAATTATCTAAAAACAATGTTATATTTGTTTATAGATATGGCTGGAGGTAGAGGTCATGGAAAATGCTCAAGTAGGCGTAATCTTGTTGTTTGTGTAAGCATGCAAACTCTTCCCAAGCCCATTAGCTAGATTTTCTCCGCGAAAAGGTGGTACACCGACCAATATTGTAACGTCATCTTAGAGTATTAGCCCAACCATGTTTGAGAGACCTCTAATTACACCAAATGAGAGTAACCGAACAAGTTATGGTCTTCCTACCCAGAACAATGTTGTGGAGCCTTATCAGAAGCATATTCTTAGTGTAAAGCTTCTGATATAAGTTCACGATCCATTCACTGTTGTTACTTTTGTTTTATATAGTTACTTTTGTTATTCTTGTATCTCCAAGTACGACTTTTTACACTTAATCAACAAGCTCTTTATTACAAAGACAATTTTCATATTTCAGCATTATTGTTCCATGTAATCTCATTATCTAACAACAATATACTTTTTTGTTCATAGGTATGGCTTGAGGCAAAGGTCGTGGAAAATCTTCAGGTAAGAATAATTTTGCTATTCGTGTGAAAATCCCAACTACTCCCAGCCCACTACATTTACTCCTCAACACGGTGGTACCCCAACCAATATTGAAACATTAACTCAAAGTACTAGGCCAACCATCTCTGAGACACCTCCAACTACACCACATGACACTAACCTAATAGGTCAAGGTCTTTCTAATTGTAGCAAAGTTCCAACAAGTCATACAAATAGAGTTGCTGAACAGATTGGAACCATCTAAAATATGCTCTAGTTTCATTACAAAATATTTAATAAGTGAGGTTGATCTCAACAGAATCAATTAGAAAGGTGCTTCATATGATGTAAGAAATGGTTATTTTGGAGAATTTAAAGCATAAGTTTTAATCGTAAGTGATTTTAGCAAGTGTATTCACATATATAGATAGAACATTAATGTACTACTTTCAACACTTATTTCAGAAGAAGTTTTGCTGGGATGTTTTCATTAGTGAAAACAAAGTAAACACACACTTGATTGTTAATTCAACATTGAACTATAGGAATTTTATTTCTAAAATAAAAAATAGGAGTTAGGCCAGGTTATGTACCATAAGATGTGTGGAAAAGATGAATGGAGCTTCAGGGAAGTGTAGAGTCTATAAGGAATCATAAATTAATTAACAAAATCGTCGTAGCGGTCGTGAATTGTTGTTGGCATTCACAATAGTGGCTCTATTTCTATTGGAAAACATCGAAAGAAACTTTTGAGTATATATATATATATTCTGCCAACCCTATAACAAACATCTTCTCTCATATGATAGATGTAACGTGATTTCTTTTGTATAGGCTATTGAAAAAGGCTGAGATCCCATGCTAATTGAGTTGCATCTGCATGTTCATACACATGGACATGATGGAAAAACACTTGTTGGTGAGAGTTCTCGAGATATTCATGTAAGTCTAAAAGTTTGAGGTGTTTCAGTTCATTCCTACTATAGTTTATGGTGCATTTTTTTTACTGTTTTGAAGTGTATCTGTTTCTGCTGTTTCGTAACGTTCTAATAATATTTTGAGACTTTTCGATGCGATTCTAGTATTGCTTTAGAGAGAAACTACTGCCATTGTTTTGAGGCTTTTCTGGTGCAACTTTTTACCTTTTTTTTTGTGTGATTCTAGTGTTGTTTTTCTGTTACTATAGCTTCAAATAGTCCCTCACTGATGAACTTAGCGCGTGGTGGGGTGGGGTGATGACAAGGGAGATTTCCCAGTTAGTTGTCATTGTCTATGGGGTACAAGTCCCAATTATCTTATAATTATTACCCATGTAGGTGTAGCAAAGATTCCAAATCCCATTGATGAATAATGCTAATTGCCACGACCCGAGGGACCTCCGAGACGCAGACGCGGAACCTAGGACCACAAGTGATCCCAAGCTAACCCTGTTGACATGATCATGAGTACAGTAAATAATATTAAATTGATGATGAAGCTAAATAATAATTTAATTTAAAAAGATGGGGACTATCCATATTCTATAACTGAGATATATGAAAAACCAAGGAGTTTAATACAAAGAAATATTAACTCACTACTAAGCTGAAACTAGCTATGTCTGAAAATAGCGTCTAAACTGGACTAGAAGTACTGGGACAAGTCCCCACTAAATCTAGCAAAACTGAAACTAAATGACTAAAGACAGAAATGACATTCATGACTGTTTTCCTTGGAGAATGAGGTGTCACCACATAATCTATTGAACTGAAGATCAGGAAATCAACCTATGCGTGATTCTGATTTTGAAAACCTGAACCTACATCACGAGAAGATGTAGTGCACGTATGAGTTAGGACCTGAAACTTACCGAGCATTTAAAATAGAGTAAATCTGAAATAAAACATAAATAAACAAGAAAATAGCAAGTATAATAATCTGACATGATAAACTGAATTTTGAGCTAACTAGATGCAATGACCAATTTATAACATGTTAAAACAGAAAATTGAATATACTGATAAATGGTCAATGCATAGAGTATAACTGATCTGTTGAAGCTACTAATAACGGATAATAAAACCATATGAGCTAAATATAGAGTCCGATATATACGCTCCTTCGAGAGGACCCAATATACTCTTCTAAATGTATAAAGGCATGCTGGCGTGATCACTAAACTAATTTCCCACAGAGGGGACTTACATCCTAGTTGGCTACTAGTTCTGGGACTATTGGCTACGCTAATCCCTACTTAAACTCGGTATTATGCTACTCCTAATAAATTATGTAAATTTAATGTTCATGTATGAATTTTTATAAATACTGGTTTGCTCAAAACTAAACTTGAAAATTGATAATGCAATATATAATCTGGTAATTACACATTTATAACTAAGGCATGTATATCTGAAGTGTCTCAAATATCTTACCTAGCATGTGTAATTCAAGAACTAATGAAATAGAAAGATAGGGCTCTGAAATTCATGTGATAATCTGAGTAATAACATGATAATCTGATTCGGAACCTAAATTTAACTAAATCATGAAGTTCTATCAATGTTCTAGAAACCCTAGGTTTAATCATGATAACAGAATGAAGAATCTGCCTAATAACTAGGGATCCAATGGGTGAAAGGAACCCACTAATGAAATCCCACATATCTGGTGATGAAATCCACGGCAAAAATACTTATGTTTCGATGCTGGAAATGTTATAGCTTCTGGTGTTCTTGAACTAGGGTTCTTGTGCTTTTTCTCCTCTTTTGATTCTAATTTTCTAGGTTTTGATTTAATGATTGACTTGGATATATATATTAACAACAAATAACTACTGTCACTAAAAAACGAATATTCAATGCCACTCATGATAATTAGTAGCGAATTGTATTAAATTCATTAGCTTCAAAAAATTTAATTACATGTTAATCGCAAATTATTTAGCTATTTTTATAGTGTATTTATAACGTATCTGATTCTTCTCATAAATAGATGTTATAATTGGTAGAATAGAATATATACTTACGTAGTGAAATTATATCCAAGATCACAGCATGAGCCAAGATTTTAAAATTATCTAAATTCGGTGAATGAACATTGATTATTAACACATTAATTTTTTTCTCTCCTTTGGAGAGCATTTCCATTGTTTCTAAAGATGTACGGTTTATAATAACTGCATCAATGCATCTTAAAAGTTATATATATATATATATATATATATATATATATATATATAATATGAAAATTGTCCATTGTCTAAAAAGATTAAAATAGAGGAGTAAATTGATTAATGATTATAGTTGACCCACAATAAATATAATATTTGACTAGTATTCATTAAAGTATATTCAAAATATTATTCGTTTGTGTTTTGGCTATAAAATATTCCCTTTTTTTATAGTTGACCCATAATAAATACCTCTAACTTTAACTAATGCCACCAAGCATTCCATGTAAAAGATAATTTATTACGTGACAAGTACACATCAATATCCACCATTGAAAATTATGTCACTTAATTAACAATCAACCCATCCATTTTAAAATCCCTACCAACCCTTAGACAATTAACGAGTAAATATTCATGTAAGTCTAAAAGTTTGAGGTGTTTCGGTTCATTCCTACTACAGTTTATGGTGCATTTTTTTTACTGTTTTAAAGTGTATTTGTTTCTGCTGTTTGGTAATGTTTTAATCATGTTTTGAGACTTTTCAATGCGATTCTAGTATTGTTTTAGAGATAAACTACTACCATTGTTTTGAGGCTTTTCTGGTGACACTTTTTACTTTTTTTTTTGTGTGATTCACGTGTTGTGGTGGGGTGATGACAACGGGGATTTCCTGGTTAGTTGTCGTTGTGTATGGGGTACAAGTCCAAATTAGCTTATAATTATTAACCATGCAGGTGTAGCAAACATTCCAAATCCCATTGATGAATAATGCTAATTTCTAAGACCCGAGGGACATCCGAGACGCAGACGCGGAACCTAGGACCACAAGTGATCCCAAGCTAACCCTGTTGACATGATCATGACTATACTAAATAATATTAAATTGATGCTGAAGCTAAATTATAATTTAACTTGAAAAAGATGGGGACTATCTATACTCTATAACTGAGATATATGAAAAACCGAGGAGTTTAATACAAAGAAATATTAACTCACTACTAAGCTGAAACTAACTATGTCTGAAAATAACGTCTAAACTGGACTAGAAGTATTGGGACAATCCCCCAACTAAATCTAGCAAAACTGAAACTAAATGACTAAAGATTGAAATGACATTCATGATTGTTTTCCTTGGATAATGAGGTGTCACCACATAATCTATTGAACTGGAGATCAGGAAATCAATCTATGCGTGATTCTGATGCTGAAAACCTGAACCTACATCACGAGAAGATGTAGTGCATTTATGCGTTAGGACCTTAAAGTTATCGAGCATTTTGGATAGAGTAAAGCTTAAATAAAACATAAATAAACAAGAAAATACCAAGTATAATAATCTGACATGATAAACTGAATTCTGAGCAAACTGGATGCAATGACCAATTTATAACATGATAAAACTTAAAACTGAATATACTGAATAATGGTCAATGCAGAGAGTATGACTTATCTGTTGAAGCTACTAATAACGGATAATAAAACCACATGAGCTAAATGTAGAGTCTGATGTATACGCTCCTTCGAGAGGACTGAATATACTCTTCTAAAGGTATAAAGGCATGCTAGTGTGATCACTTAACTTATTGCCCAAAGAGGGGACTTACATCCTAGTTGGCTAGTAGTTCTGGGACTATTGGGTACGCTAAACCCTACTTCAACTCGGTATTATGCTACTCCTAATAAATTATCTAAATTTAATGTTCATGTATGAATTTCTATAAATACTGGTTAGCTCAAAACTAAACATGCAAATTGAGAATGCAACATATAATCTGGTAATTACACATTTATAACTGAGGCATGTATATGTGAAGTGTCTGAAATATCTTACCTAGCATGTGTTATTCAAGAACTAAAGAAATAGTAAGCT